GGGGACGTAAGACAAGGGAGGAGAGAAGATGTTAACAATACATTCTCAAGCCTATCACCATCATGAGCAACTGAAACTCAGTCTGGCTGGGGGTCTCCTGGAGCCGGTGGGAACACGCCTCAGAGTTATCTTCAGGAGTCGGGGTATTGATTCACCAATTCTGCTCAGTCACGGTTGAGAGTTTATCCTGACAGATGCTAACTTCCAGGCACTTCCATCCTGTCCCACATATGCAGAGGGAGGCAGAGCCACAGGTGCCTGCATGGCAGGTTTGTGGGTTAGGGCGAGCACTGACAATGTCTGCTACAATCCTCAAAAGATGACTCAGCCCAGGCTAAAGCATGCATGCAAGAAGATGTTCAAAGTTGTGTTGACTAGAATAGCAAAACCAAACACATAAGAAACAGATGACTAAAAACCACATGTGTCCAGCAAGATGGGAATGATTTAGCAATGTCCAGTCAGTCAAAGGAGGCTCTGCTACCACCGTGTCAATTTCAAAGCCCATTAGCAATATGGAAAAGCCTTCCTGTCTAATGCTAAGCAGGAAATGCTTATGAACTAATCACAGACACTACAGTTGTGCCTGGGAAAACACCTGTCTTCAAGGGAACAAGGTGTATGAAGGAACCCTGAAGAAATAAAAATGTGTTGGGGTAATGGAACCATGAGAATTCTTTTGCTATGTCCTCTTTACGATCTAAGGGAGAACCAAGATTAAATATGATTGATAAAGCTGCCAATTCCTACAGAGAAATATACCCCCTTCTCCTGCCAGGGCTTCCCGGATTCCATCCCAAATAGACTCCTTGAGGCCGGGCATGATGGCTCACACCTGTAATCCCAGCACTTTGGGAGACCGAGGCAGGCAGATCATTTGAGGCCAGGAGTTGAAGACCAGCCTAGTTAACATGGCGAAACTCCATCTCTACTAAAAATATAAAAATTAGCCGGACGTGGTGGCGTGTGCCTGTAATCCCAGCTACTCAGGAGGTTGAGGCAGGATAATTGCTTGAACCCAGGAGATGGAGGCTGTAATGAGCCAAGTCGGTGACACTGCAATCCAGCCTGGGTGACAGAGTGAGACTCTGTCTCAAAAACAAACAAACAAACAAAACCCAAAAACAAATGCACTGCTTGCTCTTAATCTTGGTCTCAGTTGGCTTCTGAGGGACCCAAAGTAAGATGGGACTGTTCCCCAGATTGGAATGTCTGGGCCGCAAGGCATAATTATCTTTATGGTTCTTTTGATGGACTCAGTGCCTTATTTTTATTTTTTTATTTTTTGACACGGAGTTTTGCTCTTGTTGCCCAGGCTGGAGTGCAATGGTGCGATCTTGGCTCACTGCAACCTCCACCTCCCAGTTCAAGCAATTCTCCTGCCTCAGCCTTCCGAGTAGCTGGGATTACAGGTGTCCGCCACCATGCCTGGCTAATTTTGTATTTTTAGTAGAGATGGGGTTTCTCCACGTTGGTCAGGCTGAGTCTCAAACTCCTGATCTCAGGTGATCCGCCCGCCTCGGCCTCCCAAAGTGCTGGGATTACAGGCGTGAGCCACCGCGCCCGGCCTCAATGCCTTATTTAAACCAAACTTGCTGTCTTTCTGTTTTCATGTTGTTGATCCCACTTGGAGGCTCAGGCAGCTGGATCAGATCATTGGAAATATGCTCACAGGGTCCAGCCATGTCCTAACTACTTTCAGTGGAGCTTCATGCACACAGAGGTTAAGGGACATTGAGAGCTGACATCAACAAGAACACTTGCCCGGGAGCCTGCAATTTATCAGAATGTAAAGAATGTGAACATGGAATTTAGCCCGCAGATTTGCATTTGTTATCAAATGTCCCCAAGCAAGTTCCATTAGGGACATAAATTAAGCCTTTACCCTTTACATTATCACTGCGTGTGACTTTCCACATAGTTTTTGAAGGAAAGTTATTAGAAGGTTGACCTCTAGAGATAACAGGCCTGTTCTGCCTGCCTGTGTTCCAGCCTGACTCAGCAATAATCCTGCATCCCATCCCGGGCTCTAGCTCTTCCCCATTATCTGTCTGGCAGGTCACTCCAGAAGGATTGCGTGGTTTCTAGGAAAACGACAGAGGCAGCAGGGTAATCTCCAGGGACCTGGGAGATGGGGCCAGGTTGGCAAATGTTCCTTGAGTCTTATTATGAGCCAGACATGCAATAGACAGAGATTAAGAGATGTCCTTTCTCTAAGAAATTCACAGAGTAAAACAACCCAAATGTCTATCAACTGATGATAGATAAAATGTGGTTTATCCATAGGATGGGATATAATTCAGCCATAAAAAGGAGTGAAGTACATGCTACAACGTGGATGAACCTTGAAAACATGATGCTAAGTGAAAGTAGCCAAACACAAAAGTCCACGTATTGTATGACTCTATTTAGGTGAAACGTCCAGAATAGGCAAATCCATAGAGTCAGAAAATAGATTAGAGATACAAAAACTAGCCAGGCGTGGTGGCACGCACCTGTAATCTCAGCTACTTGGG